CTTAGGAGCTACCTACTCAGGGTGCTGTGTTTTAGCTGATTAAATTTCCAGGATTCCTACATGTATCATGGCTTCTCTGATCAGGACAAAAACACCTTTAGGGTTAGTGTTTAGGATTAGATTAGGTTCAGTTTAGGCTTAGTCTTTAGGGTTAGAGTTTGGGTTTAGAGTTAAGGCTAGGGTTAATATTAAGGTTAAGTTTAGGCCTAGGGATAGTGTTTAGGGTTAGGGTTCCTTTTAGTTTTAGGATTAGGCTAGGATTTGGATTTAGGTCTGGGTTTTGATTTTGGCCACATGAAGAATGTTGCCCTCTCCTCCCATGCGAAGGAGGGGGCAATCCTCTACGCTGGACTCCAAGCTGCCATCACCCAGCACCAGCAATGCAGTTGTATTTAGACAGCTCAAAGTCCATGTGTATGAGAAGAAAGGACAGATAAATAGGCAATGAGTTAGAAACTGAACCTGCAGGGGAGTGTCAGAGACAGTTATGAAGACTAGAAGCTCCTTTTGCCCACATCTGTGGATGCCTTTAAAGCTTCTGGCAATTCTATGTGTTTCTTTATCCTTAGGAGAAGCCAGAGTGGCAACCATCACCCCTCATAGTCAAATATTAAGTTTCTTTGACTATGATTTAAATAGATTGTCCAGTGTTTGATTTCTTACATGTGTTCTAGCAGCATGCTAGTGGGCACGTCTGTATCACCCCTTCGCACAGATATCACAAGTCATTTACTAGACTCTCGAGGAAGTGGGATGATTGGGGTGGAGGGTTCAAAATCCCCTTTTTGGAGAAGCTAACAGGCAAGCTGCTCATCTGAACAAACATAAATTGACAGCCAAAATGCTTCCACTTTACACAAGACACCAAAAAGAAATCCACTTTAACAGAAACAAGATGATTACAGCATTAGCGGATGCTCCATGGAAGGCAGATTTGATGGCTGGGCAACTGTTTTCCAAACATAAGAGTGGCATTACACACAGCTTAATCTTCCTGAGTCTCAAAAGCAAATCTTTTTTTGAAGTAGCCGTTTACTATGTTCCTGGTGAGGTGGGAAGATTTAAGGATATAAATCTCCTCCTCCTGAATTGTGAATGGCCGATCTGAACAGAAGACAAGCAGAGACCTGGCTTGCAAACCACGGTGTTTACAGTTTATGTAAAGTGGCAAGAAAGACCTTTAGAAGAAACAGGGCAACTGTGATAGAGGTGGATGCTCAGTGGCAAGCAGACTTGCAAGAGTTTTCCAAACACAGCAATGGTGTAAATACAGCTTAATGGTGATAGACATATTATGCAAGCATGCCTGGGCTGTTTGTCTAAGAGGCAAAATGAGTTCTGAAACTGTTGGGGCTTTTAGAACAATCAACAACAATCAATGATACAAGCAAGGGGCGCACACACATCTGAAAATTGTCCTTCACCTGCTCACTGAGTTGATGGAACATATGTGTGATCTTTTATTAACTTCCCCACAACAGAACTTTGAGCACTGGCTCTCTAAGCACAGGTCTGGTTGGTGATTCTGTGATTTAGAAAGAAAAGCTTAAAACAAATGAAAATTCTCTCTTTGGACAGCAGGGGAGCTTGCATGTGTCTGGGAGGCCTCTCCAGGGACTGTCACTAATAAAATTCCCTTTCTGGCCAAAATCACTAGGACGTTTAACTCACTCTACTTGCGCACAAACCTATCAGAGCATCAGTTAGTCAGAACCCTTTCAATTCTGTCACTGCGCTGTGTGCCAAATAGCGGTAATGAGATCATGATGGTGACATTATGACAAATTGTGTCAAGGCCCTGAGTCCACTAAAAGACCTCAATGATGCTGACCAGACCCAACTGGCATCTCCACTCACACTCTCTGACAGTGGGTCTGGGACCTCTATTTAAGCCCTTATGGGAGCCCTGGCTGGCAGAATTTGCTGGTTGTGTTATTGTACTTGGCTCCTTGTCCCTTAAGCAGCAGCCAAACCTATCCGCATCCTGAAATGCTGCACTGTGTGTGAGTACTGACATGGTCAGCATTGAAACCAAGGCTCCAAGACCCATCAGAACAAACGCATTGTCTTTGGCTTTTGGAAGGCGCTCATGAAGCTGCATATGTGGTCCTAGAAGACTTCGATATTTTAAGAAAAATGGTTACTATGGTGGTCGTATTTTTGCAGGGTCTATATTCAAATGTTTTTGTTTGTTTTGGGGGACGGAGCTGTTCTATATTCAAATAAAAAAAAGCTTTGATAGAAATTGCTCATTCTTCTCAGTACAAAAACTCAGACTACTGATAAAGACTTACCTCCATTTGTCACTGCAATATAAAAGAAATGAAACCTCAAAGGTGGTATGTAAGATCTGTATGCCTCTGAGCAATATTATGCTTATCTGTATTCAAATTTTATCTCACTTTCACTTTTTGTGACTCACGATAAAGCATTTCTTTCTTCGGTTTTCCATTTACATGAAGGTGTTCGATCACCCTTGTTTCAGCTGCTGAAGATTTTAACTGGTGTAATATGTAATAATCTGCAAGAAATCTACTTTTTTCTCGAATAGAGTTCAGAGGACAAAGTTTCACCAATCATGACAAAGTAGACCAGTACAAAGAGTATAAAGATATATTCACTTCTGTTTTGCATGAAAGAAAGAACATTTACTCTCTACTAAGCTTTAAAACATGCTTCTCCTCAGTGCAAGAAGAAAATTTCATATTTATAAACACTTCCTTATTTTTTCCATCTAAACATGCTGATCTAATAAAAGAGCTATACTACTTTCAGTTTTCAAGATCTGTTCTTCAGATCTTCAGGACAATTTTGCCAATGTGCAATTGCCATATCCACTAGGGAACTAGACTGGGATTTATCTATAGAATGGCAGTCTTTAAATTGCCAGTTCAAAAAGCTTAAGGAAAATGGATGTAAATATGCAGTTTGAAATTTGGAAGACTTTAAACATTCTTTAAAGTTGTTGTGGCCCATCTTCATTTTCGTTTTGGGTGAAATTGAGCCTAACCACACCAGAAGACCTAAATCAAGGGATTCTCTCCAGAAAAACACATTTCTAAAAGCTTTAATCATAGGTGCTGTCAGAGTTCTGAAATATTTGTAATGAATCACAGCGCTACATATGGGTTTCCTTTTCTCCAACTGAGTTGTAATTTTCAACAGGAGAGAGCATGGGCAGAACGACCCCTTAAGAGCCCCTTCTGCCTTTTTCTGCTGATTGATCTACTGAACATTAGAATTAATTAAAAAGTTCTCAATAGGAAGTAAATTTGGCCATAAGAAAAAGGCAATTTTCTTCAACTCCAGTGGTACTGCAATTACATAGATAAGAACAACAGGAGAAGATCTCATTGTCTTTTACAATACATAGATGAATATTTGGTGCATACCTTCATAATGAAGAATGAGAAAACATCTCTTTAGCTAACAGAACTTGAGAGCATTTGAAATTCAGTAGTCATCTCCCAGACAAGCTTGAAAGTTTTAAAAATGCTACAGCTGAAGTTCTGCATCTGCTAAATATCTCCTGGCTAAGAACTGGGGTGCCCACATTAACAAGAAGAGTAGCTAAGTCCCCTGCTATGTTTCATTTTCCCTTGGAAAGTGGTATCAATGTATGTCTTATGAACAATGTGGTGTGTACTTGTTGAGGAGTCCTAAAGGTTCCAAATTCTCTTTGGACGTAGGAGTGGCCTCAAGGCTGCAGAAAGGAGATGTATTCATCCATGCTATGTGGAGAATAATGCAAAATGCATGGAGCCAACAGAGCAATCAAGAACAGTCCTGATGGTGGGTCTCTAAGAAGGTTTTCTGTTAGAAAACTTTAGAATGAACAAATACAGGAACAGAGAAGCTTGTAGGAGGGACAAGAATCAGGAATTCCTACTACTGGGGAATGTCTCAGGCCACAGAATGCCCAACTTCAGCTGTTTGCAACCTTGCTTGTTCCTTAACCAGAATAGACCATTCTGAACTTGAGCTCTAACTGTGATAAGAGGTGTTCAGAAGCAGTGCTGGCACTTTCAAAAATCACTTTTGGAAAAAAAAAAAAAAAAAAGGAAATCCCAATCATAGCTGTTAGATGTTTGTTCTCAGGAGAAGACTTAGAGTGGAAAAATGCATCAATCACATGCTGTACGCTGTTCATGGAGCAAGATACTGTATTAAGACTCTTATTAGCTTCAAATAACTCCCTGATCAACATGCTGTATTTTATACCATTTTGTACTGTTTTGTAAGGTGCTTAAAACTCCTCGCACAATGTAGAGGAATCATAAGTACATACCCTGGTAGCTTATACATGGCTAGGATTTTACTCTATGTAAATCCAGATTCCTACAGCTATGGTCCCATTTCATTGGCACTTCTGCAGTCCATAGGTTGACTGCTCTTCAGACTACCAAATAGGTCATTTAGTGGCACTAAAGAGCAGCATCACTATATTACCTTTAAAGTATTCCCATATGGTTAGGAAAACAAGAAATTGAAATTTTACTAAAAACATACTACGAAATGTCCAATTGATACTAAAATAACAGACTGTAAGAGCTTATAGAAATGCTGGAGAACAAAATGATGCCAGTAAATTCCTTCTGGTGACTCACAGTTGGAAAGCTTTTAGAAAGACTTCAGATTTTGTTCTTTTATCACATTCAAGTACAATCATTTTAATAATAGGGTTGTACTAACTCCAAAAAAATATATATGTACTTATCTTTTCATTACAGTTCTTCAGCCTTGATTGAGAATAATCTCTAGTAAATCAGCATGGTTTAGATTCACTGAGTGGTGTTATGCAAATGTTATTATTATAGCTGACATAGACATGCTGAGATGTTGAGTAAACATACAGATTATTTAGGCAATGCTGTTATTGTTCAAAGAACAAGGATGGTGTCCAGTCGGAAAAACAGGACATATTAGCTTTTATGAAATTTGCATTTATTTGCAGCACTACAGAAATATTTCACAACGAACTTGAATTATACAAGAGAACCATCATCTGTGCAAAAAGAACTACATAGACTGGCCAACCTTATCTGTCAAGCAGTCAAACACTGGAACAGGTGGCTCTTACGTGTTATGAAGTTTCCATTTTTAAAGTATTCAGAACTGGGTATTCACTCATGACCTCGAGCAATCTGATGAAAGTTGCCCCTGCTTTAGAAGGCTGGGTTGAGGAGGAGGCTTGACCAGCTGATCTCCAAACATCCCTTCCAAGACATATGATTTCATTAACTTCTCAAACCATGTCACCACCTGATGGGAAAGAAAAATAACGGTCAAGGGACTACACACCGGAGTGAGAATAGTGACAGCCCTGAGTCCACGCTTTTGGATGGAACCCAGTTCCTATTTAGGCAGCTGAGGTCTATATGTTCCTGATGGTGTTGATGTATCTTCATGGAATAGCTTTGAACATTGCATTAGGATGCCTTTGTCCAATGATATGAGCAGTGAAGCTAGCCAATTGGAAAGGATGTCTAAAACTCATCTCTCCAAATCTCTGCTTTGAACAGAAGAATTTTGGAGTTAAACTTTGTGTTATTTTGATATTCTTTGTATGAGGTCCACAAGTTTTAAGGCATAAAACTGGGGGTGCTAGAATCTTTACTTTATGTCTTTGACTCTTGCAAGGAAATTTGGAATTGCATTAGATATTTCCCAGCTTACTCTAGGACACTGAAACAGAAATGTATAACAGCCTAAAAATTGCCTGTTGTGATGAAACAGATAAAGCATTATACCTAAGCTATTACTGGCATCTCATGCTTCAGTTTGATTAATAGAATGTGATTATATCAGGAATGACCAGTATAACAGAAACTTGGGCCAACGAAGAAAGTGAAATTATTTGAATAATTTTGTACCTGAATTAATTTCCAGTATATTGTTTGTCTTTCTTTTCAGACTCTAATCATGGGCAAGCTAAAACACTCATAATCCTAATGTTTTTATTGAATAGTCTTGAATACTATATATATCTGTGCCTTCTATTGTGAATTTAATATCTAGTATAACTTATTTTATTAAAAAATACATTATTCCCCTTTCTGCAAAGGGTCTGCAAAGTCTGCAAAGGCTTCATCTCTTTCTGTGTACTTGAACAAGTAGAAAATAAATCTCTGCAGGCTCTGGCTAGGTGCCAGGGAAAGTGCCTTTTAAATGGACAGTATTCCCAGTCCTGTGCTGGGTTTCTTTTAGCAAGAGAAACTGATAATGGAATTATTTCTCACATGTATTCTCCCTTATCAGTAAAGACAGTTCAGAATATAAACTCTTCCTGAACGTAATAGGAAGAATGTATAAGGGGAGAATTCTTTGCTTAATGTACAATATTTTTTGGCTGATGTTGCTGAAAGAATTCCTCCCTCATGGTCCCAACTGTTTATTGACCGTTTGCTCGGTTTGGTCTGCTTGGTGCAGGTCTGATGCTCATGGTGGTTTGAGAATGTGGGAACCACTGAGGCATTTTTGAGAACTGGGTGGTACCTAGGAATGATTATAACCCTTTATTTGGAAGCTATCTGCTGACTATGCTGATGGAAAGGGTAATTAGGCTGCTCTGCAGATTGCTGGGTCAATGCAGGGCAGAAGAAACCCCAGGTGAGTAGGTTGCCAAGCACCTGGAGCATTACTGGAAGTAAAGGTCTAGCGTCGAACAATACTTAAAGGAAATTAATTTACTTCTGTCATTCCTTTTCAGTAATCTAACTCCTGCTTATATTCCTGTGAGCTTAACGAATACCCCTTTCTCCTACAACAGATGAAGCTGTGGAATTCGGCATTAAAAATTCCATAAAAATTCCATAAAATCTTCCTGAAAGTAAGTGATTTCCATTGGTCCAAAATAATATTGCTACAGTATGTATTTCTTTTAAGTGATTCATAAGCTTATGTGAGTCATCAACAATTTCAAAGGAAGTCCCAAGAGCTCAGTCAGGGAAATATTTTGGCACTGTTTAACACTGCTCAGTCCTTTCAGTCCTAAATGAGAGAGAAACACTGAAAAGGAACATAGTAAATGAGTGCCCTTGGAATGAATAAAATGGCATGCATTTTACATCCTTTCTTTAATATATTGAATTTTAATGACACTATTGAGAATGAGATTCCCTTTACATTTGTAATTATACAGGAGAACAGATGGTGAAGGCTTAGCTTAAAGTGTTAATTAAAATAGCTGACACAGCCAAGCTCCTGGTTGAATAAAATATAACCAGGAAGAAATGAGAGACTGTGTTAGGGTGTTGTTGCTGTGAAATATTCTTAAATAAAGTTGGAGCAAATCTTGGAGCAAATTTATTAGACGTACCTAATAGCGAATACACACATATATTTCACACCAGTGAAATCCCTTCCTCTCAAGTTCATGAAGTAAGGACCAAACTACAGACATGCCAGTTGCACATTTCTGGAAAGGCAAAAGGCCTAGATTCAAGAGGAAGAGACATTCAAATAACAGCAGTGGGTTTTCAAAACACACAAGGCTTCCTCACACTATACTTCTGTTGGCAGGAATATGCAGGATCTCTTCCCTGTGGGCTGTGCTTAGTTGAAGGAATCAGTGTACGTCCCTGGGATACATCTCGCTAGCTCATCTACAGAACTCAGCACAAGGGAAATGGTTCAGAGTATGGTGCCTATGCCTCCATCTTCCTTAAAAAAAGAGTGGGTGGCATCTGTCAGTCATTTGTACTTAGCTATTGGAAGAATTTAGTTTGGTCATGGAAGACCTATTTTAATATTCTTTTCTTGCTTGATTTGGGTTGGAGTTTTGTAGGTCATCAACAGCACACCAAGGCCAGCTAGCCACTTCAAAACAAATTAAAGGTTCTGGTGCTATCTGCCATAAAGACAAAATTTCTTCACCGCAGTCCCTGCAGAAGCCCCAAAATATGTGATAGATGTTCTACTGTAGAAGAAGAATTAGAATTTTCATCTATTTTAAGTTTTGCTTTTCTTAAGGCAGGGTTTTCTTAAGCCTCCTGCTTGCCAGAAAATAGGACCTTTGTTGTGGGATTAATAAGGTGGCTCATACATTCACTAGTATGGAGAGGAGCAGCTAGTAGCCCTTCTGCAAAGCATGCTGCCATGTCCACTGCAGCACTATTTCAAAGATGGTACCGTCACTGATGTTATCCCCGTGGTGCAAGTGCTGTATCTCTGCCACCTCTGCCTCCCAAGAGGGAGCCGCAGGAGTCTCACTAGCTGCCCAAGAGCCCCAGGAGTCTCTCTAGCTGCATAGCAAACTTCAAACTGGTGGTTTGTGGGGAGATATCATCACTAGCATTGCTGATTAGAATGATGTAGAGCCCCCCGTGCCATCCTTCTTTCTCTCCACTCCACTGCCAGACTTGGAGACTTCTATCCTGCTATAAAACTTCTGGGGCCAGACATGCCATTTCACCATCATCTGCTTCTTTCTTCACTTCTCTTTGGCAGCGACAATCTGTTGATTCTGTTCTCATCACCATTCACTTTCTGAAATTCTTCAGGGCAAAATGACCTCTCAGTTGCTTAGTGACTACAGTCTACTAAGCAATGCACAGATCTCTGTCCTGGTCACACAATTTCGGCTGCTGTGAAAATTTAATGTATGAATGCCTGCTCACCACTTTTCTCACATCTCTGTTTTGTTCTAGACACACTGATGTGGTGCCACTGACATGCTCTATGCCTTCTCTAGGAAGCCGTAAGCACCCTGCTTTGCAGGCCAGGTTGCCACTTAACACACTGGTAGCTGGCATTTTGCTCTGGTTTTCCATTTTCCCAGGCAATTTTGCCTGTGTCTAGTAGCACCCTTCAAAGCGCAGTCTGCTCCAGCAATACTGCAAAGTCATCCTGTTGGGCTGGGACTGGATGCAGCAATCTCTCAGTCCAACTCATACATCCAAATCTCTTTTTTTGCACAGGAAGGTTCTTTGGCGGACCTCCCAGGAGGAGTCTATAGTCCTTGGGTATGTTCCAGCACTAAAAATCAAAGCATTTGAGGACTGAGAAATCAAATGTGGGCCCTGGAAGGGAGCATTGAAGAGAGCATTTGACATTTCCTGTTCCCAGAAAGCATCCAACGAGGGGGTGGATGACTCTCAGAGGTGCTCTGCCCAGAGGTTAAGTGAATAATGGAGCAGAAACAGATCTCACAGTCAGCAGGATCATCCCTCAACCCTCATCCTACCTTCTTCCTTTGCATAGTGTTGAAGACAGCTATGAGGACTGGTAGTAGGACTACTGATGACCAGTAGTAGATTGGTAATGAAGTCCTGCAGGCAGGTTGGCCTTGGATGAGGTCCTCAGAAATAGGTTCTGGATATACTTGAGGTACATCAATGCAGGGGTGCCCCTCATACTACAGAAGAGGGGGTGGATCAAGAAGGAGGGATGAGGAAAGGAAAACGAAGGAGATCAGCTCAGTTTTTCTTCTTGAACCCCAATGTGAAGGGAAAGGGAAAGGAAAATGACATCTCTATGCCAAATTTTCTGGGGTCTTGGTTGCTTTTGACTCCTTGAGTGGACTTGCCAAACTAGTTTCACAGGAAGGGTTCCACATGTATGACATTACTCCGTAATATAACTAGGTATATATCTTTATGCAGTGGGATGGCCTAGCCATTCCTGCCTTCTTGTGCCTGTTCAAAGTGCTGGTGGGGTTATCTTTCCAGGAGTCATCGGTATTCACAGATCACTAGTTTGTGACTAATTCCAACCCAGCTTTCACAGACATAGAACAGCAATCTGTAATGAGTTCTCCGTGTCTAACAATTATGCTGCCAATTTCACAAAATACCCACCACCAGTACTTTGGCTATAATGTATACCATTCTTAGCTACTCAGCTACATATCACCTATTCCAGTGCTGATCCCAGAAAGTCCTCTATTTGAAAGGCTATGACATAAGTCAGAAGCTATAACAGCATTTATTAAACCATCCCATCCACATGATGAGTTTTGAGTAGGGCAGAAGGAAAGCCAGGCAAACAGGAAAATGGGAGCCTATCTTTCTTCATCAGCTAGAGTCTTGCCTATTTAGTGACCCTGTTCATTCCTGCATCTCCAGGAGCCAGGGCTTCCCCTAAGGCCTAAGGGGGATGGAAAAAGCTACCAGTGGTGCTCCCTGTACCTTTCCCCTTAATTTACTTGATCTGCTGGAGCAGTCAGTTGTATTTAAGAGTCATTCCTAAGTAACAGGACATGTTCTTGCTAATCGGGAGCCAGCATCCCATTTGATTGCTAAAAAAACCAGTCCAGTTTCTACACTCACACTGCTCCATAATAGATGGGCTGTTTTTATTTTTTTTCTGGAGCAGTATCAGGTTATTTCACGACAGATGTCTCTGAAAGACACAGATGTCTTCCAGAGATATTTGGAGATATAAACTGATCTTAGTGCTGTCTGGAGACACAATCTATAAGGCAACATTAACCACACTTGTCCTTCCTGAAAAGACAGTGCCATAAGCAATAACCTGAAGCTACAGTTTATAACAGGGTGATAGAGGTCTGAAGGAGGCTTGCTACTCTTCAGAGTATGTCCCAGGAAGACTGCTGACAAATTGTTGGGTTTTATTGAAGTGCCTAAAATGTCAGGAACGGAATTGCTCCTGTGACTCATCTTAAGTCCATGCAGGAGGATGGAGCAGGAAGGCATTTGCAAGGGGGAGATTGCCATGGAATGGACTGAGGCTGTAGGTTGGGAGAGTAGAAGGACTGTATCTGAGTAGGGGAATTCTGAAGCATCCTCAGCCTCTACTTTGCCAAAGTGAGGCCTTCTAGGTTAAAAAGTCTGATGTCTTGTTTTGGCAAGGACTCTTCTTTCTCTAGCTTGAGTGCACATTGCTGGTTTTGATAGTGGAGTATAGCAGGATTGATCTTAGTGAGGAGATGTGGGCCCTAGTGTGTTTGCTGCACTCATGTTCCTTGTATTTGGAAGACAGCAGTCCATCAGACACAGCTGCTGGCTATACAGACCTACTCTCCGGTCACCGATACTTTGATTTGTTTTCTTGGCTGACCGTCAGCTGAAGAGATGACAGATGGTCGACATTTCAAACCTCTGTGTTCGCTGCCCATTATCTTAAAGCATCTAACCCCAGAACACAGTCCATTTTTCTCCTCTTCCTTTATTAGCAAGAGAGAAAAGAACGGATACTTTTTATATGTACTTTTGTTATCAAAGTAGCTGCCACCAGTGTTGATGGTGGAGCGGGAAGGCTCTGACTCTCATTGCATCAGAATCAGCTGTCCCCAGAATGGTCCCAAGAGGGTCAGGCCTTCAATGCTCTAAGCCAAGGTGTTTGCCAAGTACCATTGTAACTGAAGCTAGGACCTCACTACCAAAAATGGGGAACGGTATCACAGCCATATATTTGGTGAGATTTGCATAGTAGAGACGAGCAATTCAAGCTATGCCAGATCTGTAATCCATGTCTCTAAATTGTCTGGAGTCTATTATTGATTTCTTTATGTTATCCTGGCACTGATCCAGTCTGTATTCCTCCAGCCGTCACACTACCTCCCTCCAGGTGGTGAGGGAGATGCATCAAAGGCAAACTCTTCCTGCACTTTTTTTTTTCTTCACGTGCTGCTACGGCAGGTGTGAGGTCCTACAAAATAGCACAGTTCTGCAGCTCTTGGGAATGGGGATTTATGTGACCCTGATGACAAGAGTCTTTAAGCAAGGAAATGTATGTTTGCTTTTTCCTCACCTGGATTCTTAAATAGCCTTTTGTTCATGCTATTTTTGGTCATCTGTGTTCAGCCTTTCTCTCCTGACCAGAAGAGCAGTATTTGCAAGGCTGCTTGGAGATGAAGCAAGGTCCAGAGGTAAAAATCAAACATCTGCTGCAGAGTTCTGCAACAAGAAAGAATTGAGACAGATAAAAAGAAGAAGCTGAAGGAGGCAATCATACATATAAATGAGACAGAAAAATCTTGGACATCTGGAGGTGGTGACCTCCAGGGGAAAGTGAGCCAAAAGGGATCAGCAGAACAATCTAGATTATGACTGTAGGAGGGCCAGGCAAAGTTTGCCATGAAGCAAAAGAGCAGGTGCAGTGTATATTCTACCATGACAAAGTTAATTCATCAAAAAAATCTTTGTTAATTTGATTTGGCACAGTGAATTTGTAATAGAACAGGGCTTTGTATCTTAGGGGGCGAGACATTTTTAATATATTAGTAAGGAGTTCTAAAGCCAGACCCTGAAGTCTGATCAAATAAACACAAATAAGTGCGAATGAAAACTGTAGCATTTATTAGTAAGATAAGTGCAATGAAAATGAAAGTAAAATGAGATTTTATAGACTATATACAACTGAAAATTAGCTGCCAGCTTTAATAATGCAGCTGGAAAGCTTATCTGAAGAGAAAAAAAAAACTTCTTAAAGATTGTATCTGCTTAATGTGTCCTGAGACTGATAGCATCTGTAGACTGAGAGAGAAGGAAAGACATGACTTTACAATATTTGCACACCTAATGCTTTTTCTTGTATATTGGATGTTTATCCCAGCACTTAATTCTCAAACTTGTACTCATCTGTCTAAAGTGAGCTAAATATAAGTGCTTGTCTTTGCATTAGAGCGCTTGAAGAAACCAGATTTAATGCAAGCATGTTAGTTTACCACTGGGCTATTTTTAAAACCCAGCAGGCTGAAGTTAAGGTTGTACTTTCATTAGCAGCATTACTTTACCTTAACCAGGCCTCACGCTTAGCAGCACCCTTCCAGCTCCACTGTCTTCCCTCTCACCTGTCCAAAGCGGAGTTTAAGGACAGTTCTAAGATGCTCCTATTTCAGCTGGGACTACCACCATAAAAGGCACATAGTTGCAACCTAAACTCTGGGCTACTTGAAACCCTGTACCACCAGAGTCTCTTTTTAGCCTCAATTATTCTATGATTCTAAGTGCTGATCTGTATGAACAAAGGTTTCAGAATAAGATGAAAAATAATGCTTAACAAGAAACACTGGCATAAATGTATGTCTTCTGGTTTGTGTATACAAGACCTCTGTTTTTGAGGCCTACACCCACGACTTTGCTTGCGTGTCCACTTAACACCACATCCTACAGCTTAAACCTGGCCCAGAGGGCAGGAGGTTTATCTAAAAGCAATGACCAAACTGGATATCCTGTCTTTTGTTTTGGTCAAGACTGCTAATAGAAAGCTATAGGAACATCTAAAAATATCCACTGTGAATCATGATGCTGGCTATAAACCAAAAATAGTTTCAAAGACCTGTCTAGCTCCCAGTGTGATGCTTCTAATTTCCACCATACCCCACCTCACAGTCTTTCTCCTTTGCAAGATTTGGCATGGTGGTGAGGGTTAAAAATAAAAACAAATTACAGCCTATTTTTTTTATTATTATTTCAAAAGGCTTTTAAGTGTGAATTCAGTACTTTTTGAGGTCTTCTGAGGTACAAGTTATAAAGCTTGATGAAATATTTTAGGAAACATTTTAGACAAGTCTGAAAGTATATTTACCTTTATAAATAGCATCACCATGTGGTAAAAAATAGGTCTTTAAAATGTAAACAAGACTTGCCACAGTGATAGAGGAAGAGCACACTGTGGTACATACAATGAGACCCTTGTAGCTGCTTAACTTGAAATACTGTCTCTGAACATGCTTGTATGAAAGCTTCATAATGCTTCTAGGGAAGAAAGGGCTATTGGGAAAAACATAGGAGCTAAAAATGCAAATTTCCAGGTGATCAAAGGCCAGAAACTATGCCACTGGCCAGTGTTCACCCAGTTGACTGTTCAGGTGTGGTTAATAGATTCTGAAAGTTGCTTGAGACAGCAAGCCTCTAGTGGGTCAGTTCCTGGAGCACAGTCTGAGGAATGCCCTTTTGTAGAGATGTTTCTCAAGAAAATGTGGGTTAGGTGAGACGTGCTAGTGCACGTGTGTGATTGTGTGTGATTGTGTGGCTTGATGGAGCTTATTTCGTTCCCAGGTGCTCCACTTCAATCAGCAGTCAGTCACCAGCAGGGCAGTTGGCCTAGATCATCTCCAGAGGTCTCTTTGAACCTCACTGATTCCACGGGTTCTTGCCAGCACTCCTTCCACTGGCAGCACTAGCTGCCAGAAAAGCCTCAGTGTGCTCCAAGCAAATGTTACTCATACTTTTAGGATGCTCCATTAGGTGATATCCCCAGTGCTTTTTGTTAATCTTCATTTCTATTCTACTTTACAGAACTTTTTATTTAAAAAAAAAAAAAAAGAAAAAAAAAAAGGTGTGAATTGTGAATATCATACATTGTTCCTGCTCTGGGCTGTGAAAAAAAGCTCTTCCAGAACTGTGATGCCCATCTCTGACCTTAAGCTGGGAAAAGGAGGGTTGGATGGCAAGTGTAGTGACACATTAAAAGCATGTGAGGGGTTAAAGAAAGTAGATTTAGAGTAGACTTACAGTCCAAATGAAACATAGAGCCTTGATAACTGCACAGAGGGATTGCTGATGGGAGTCTGCTGAACAGACAAGTTGAACACCCAGGTAGGACTTACTTGTGTAGCCTAAGAGCCCCTTTTGTATGTTAGGTCTTTTTCCTTTTCTCAAGTATGCTAAACCTGCGTTAATTGCTGGCTGCAAAGCAGCTAGATATCACTGATAAATGGGAATACGCATGTCCAGCCCTCACCAGTTTCAGCTGGTGTGTAGATAGCACACTGCTATCCTGCACTCTGTCAAATATCGGACTCCTTGCCAGATCTTCTGCAGGTTCTCTCCCACCATCACTGGTGATAGCTACTTCCTAGGGACCAGGAGCCTGATAATAAATCAGATGAAAGCTTGGTTGTGATGTGTCGTTGCTGCAATCTGGGAAGCCCTTATTTCTTTGGCATTAGAGAAGAAGTCCTAGGTTGTACTTCTCTGAACAACAATGAGAGAGATCTCTCTTTAAATGATGTATCTATGAGCAACTCGTTCTTGGTTTACTTGGAGGTTTGGCAGACTACACATGGCCAAACATCTGTCAGCCTTTCTATTAGGAGGATCTTTACGTGGTTAGCCAAGTGTATTCATCTTTTTCAATCTTCTGCTTTCAATATGCATCAGACCTGGGACATTCTGTGAGTCTAGGTTTCATTTTATTCAAAATATTCCAGAAGATATATTTAGATATTTACAGTTCTTTGCTATGATATCTTCAGCAGTTCTTTCTAGTGGGGTATCTTCTTGCTGACTGCTTTGGGCAGAAGAATTTCACTGGATGACTTTTTGAAGTCCTTTCCAACCTTACCTTTTCTATGAGTGGGCAAATGTCACACTTGCCTGTTGCTGTCCTACAGAGCAACAAGTCAAGGAATTGAAAATAAGTTATCCATGTCTTTCTGCTCACATTCAGGATTGAGGCTGGAATACAATGCTGAAGAATATCTCAAGAACATTGACTATAATTTTCCATATGAGTGGTAAGTTAAGTGGTAAGGAGTGCCACAGCTTCAAAACTGTGGAAGTTGGATTAAAAAATAGAATAAGATATCAGCAGGAAAGACTGGATAAACACTTGCAAAAGGCTGTGTGGAGCAAAATGATGAATGTCTTAATAGAAACTTAAATACTTTTTTTGCAGTTGTATCTGCTGTGTAAATCTTGGGAAATTCCTGGAGCCCTTCTGAGCAGGGAATCCAGCAGAGTGTGAACACCACACGTGATCCCTTTCCCTCCATCTCAAAATGGAGAGAACAGAACTGGTGAGGGTTCGGATTGGCAGCATTAATGTTAAAGAATAGCTTCCATGAGGACTCATTAAGTAGACTGGGGCTCTTCATCCTGGAAAAAGTATTACTGAGGAAGATTTATGATAAAGGTCAAGAAAACAGCGAATGGGCTGGAGAAGTAAACTGGGCAATGACTGTTTGCTCTTCCTTCCAGTATGAGAATTGGGTCAGGAAACAACATGAACTGGTGAAAGATTCAAAACAAAGTTCTTTACTCATCAATTAACTAAGTTGTACGAGTGCCTGTCCATACATGCTGTGTGTACATGGGTTTTAAAACTGACTTTACAAGTTCATGGAAGAAATATTTCTCAGGAGATGTTGACTTGTGTAAAGAGTGTGAAGCAACAAAATTCAGGTTCTTTTGCAAGTACTCATACATGCCATACACTTACCACTTGATAGTGGCAGTACATTAAAACTTTGATAGAAGTTGATTTCTTGATTTGAAAAAAATAGAGGTGTAACTATCTATATGTAAATCCAGACATCTGACTTCTCGGTAAAATCAGATACATTAAGGATTTATACATAAGAACTTCGTTGCTGACCAGGTATGTCTTTCTATTCTGGTCCAGTGGAGGCAGCAATAGAGTGAGTATCTTGCTATGATTTTTGAAACAAGAATATTTTCTGTGCAGTAGCTAGCATATGATAGCTGTTCTAACCACTATTTATCATTTAATATTTATCAATTAATATTCATTTATGTATAAATTCATCATATGTAAAACATCTCCATAAAGTCCATGACAAAGTTAGCATATTAACTTTTTAAAGTTTTCTTCTTTAAACAATGCACTTGCACTATGACTGTACAACATGCCTTCTATTTTTGTATACCTATGTGCAAAATTAGATAATGCAACAGTAAACCTGAGATTACTTGCATTTGAAAGGTATGATTTTTGCTAAGATCAGGTTTAAAGATGCAAAGTGGCCTTAGTGGCCTTTCCTATATGAATTTTAGTTACCACTTTGCTTACAGGTCCTCACTAGGCATAGTTGATCATGTGTGATGGGATATAATACTCTCTTTTGACTGATCTGACTTTGAATTTTTTTTTTTCAAGGACCATCCTTTTTCAAGATTCATATAATTGGGAAGAAGTGGAGTGGGGATAG